GCTGTCCTACCAGCTTTGACGTCCCATTCGATTTTGTGAACAACAAGGGATCACTGAGACACCGTTAATGAAAGGAAAGATACTTCACATATGTGATATAGATTATTTAACAAGAAAAAGGGTGGGAGCCTACGCCTTCCACTTGGGAGATACCGAATGAAAGGACATCAAAGCAAAGATTCAGGCTTCGAATGCAAAATCCTAGCTCACGAAAATGAGGCCGATGCCTGAATGATTCTGGAAGCGTAACACAATCAACCGAAATGGGCATAACAAGGGAACGCTTGCAATTCACTCCTGCAATTTTGTGGGCTTTGAGAACACCACATAATCCTCAACTGACGATCATCAATGGTGTCCCATTGGTCTCCTTTTTGTTCACCTGATCGAGTAAGACGTCAATGTTGGTGGAACAGCAAAAGATTGGTTACTTTGCTGGGTTCATCCGAAGTACGAGTTTTCGGGTGTTGCACGTACGAGAGTTGCAGCCAGCCTAGCACATTTCGGCGCTTCAGAGTGTGAGTCACAGGTCAGAAGCCTTTAATTATCTCTAGGTCCTTGAAGATGACGATTTCTTCAAAGCGTGAACAGTGATGCGGTTCAACCATAACAAACTTGTACGGCAGAGCAGTGTAAAACATACAGTGAGAGCCTTGTCTAGAAGAAGAGTTTCAAATATAAGTTTCCTGTATTTTTACACGACAAGCAACTCCGGAGTGCTTAAAACACTCTTCGGAAACACTCGACTCTTTTTCCGTTTTAAGAATTAGGGCGATAATATAGCCCGTCAATTCGATCATGACTATGCAGACTTGAAGTTGACAAGCTGGCATCATAAATGCGCCCGCTATCATTCATAACAGAACTGTATTTAAATTGATAGGATAGAATAGAATTTACTAATTAGACTGATAGACCTAAGATTACTGATAAACTCACTTTGAATGATATTCAACAATCACAGGCAGGTCGTTAATGTCGTGCACAGAGGCTGGCAGTGTGCATCCAGCCAGTCCAATCTATAAAGAAAGCATATCAATCAATCTATTCTTTTCTCAACTTTTTGGAACTACCTGACGGGTGTCCGATCTTTGAAGTTTACCGTTATGAATTTTATTTCGATTCAAACCCAAAAGAATTGACAGAAACTGAGTTTGGCCAATTCCAAGTGATAAAAATCACCAATTGATATTAGTTTTCACCTTCTACCACCGACGGACGCCACTCGATCTCAGTTGCGAACCAGTTTTAGCGGCAACTCCCAAAAATATGATTGAAAATTGTTACAAGGCACTGTCTGCGATAAAAATGGTTCCCGAGATACAGTAGCGCTCAAAAATCTTCGGCGAAACGGTTCTTCAGCCGTACTTTTCAGTTGTAACTCCTTTCCTACTGGATCTAATCTTGCGAAATTTCTGTATTTGGAGCATGGGTGTATTGTGAATATTTGCCACTATTAACTTGCAATCTGATCGTGTTCCAGGTATTCCAAAGAGCATGAACTCAAAATTGACTGAAAATATGGATGATGGTCCTTCTAGAATCCCTTTTCCTTTTGTCATGTCTAAAGTGTGGGAGCGGTAATGCACAATAGATGAAAAAACGCACATAAGGTGCGAAAAAGTGCAGACGTCAACAACTTTACTTTTAGCAAAATCTGCCTGCTACCGCAACAAACACCATACCCTATCTGTGGATATTGCAGCTTTGCAGTCAAATAGTGTTAGGGAGTGGAATATGCTCTGTTTGAACATATCCAAATTTTGCGCGATTTGGCCTACTAGGAAAAAAGTTATGGACGAAAAAGCGTCGAAGCATTTCACCGAAGACTTTTGAGCGTTACTGTATGTTTTTGGGACGAATCTATGGCCCCTGAACTTGTCATTTCGCACGATGCCCGGTCGAAAACGGCCTAATAGTACGGGTCAAAAAACAAGCAGCAACGCTTCGTTCCATGCGTCTGTCGAAACTAGGTCACGCCGCAGCCGTCGCACGCGATGCGTCAGCCCACGACTCTTGACACAAGTTGTAGCTCAGTGGGGCATTACGGCAATCAGTTCAAAGGGAAGATAACACGGACCAAAGCAAATAACTCGCTCCGTTGACACTTGGTGGTAGTGTAATGCCATCTGCGTTGCGCGCGAAGTGAGCGGGGTGACCTATAATAGTTTCGACAGACGCGCGGAACGGACATTCCCCGGCAGTGGCGATCCCCTGTCTTTTGACCCATCGTATGCTCAAGCGGCCATGTAGGATAGCTTCATAGAGACCATACCATTCGCACTGTAGTTTATACCCTCAAAAATCGAACATTGCTGATCGTGAGGGGTGCGCATTAGTTGCATTAAATGAATGAAGCTGACGTCGTCTGTCTATCGATTCCGTGCAAACTGATGCCACCACTGCATTTGAACTTTAAGCCAATGTGAGCGTTGGTGTCAGTGCAATGAATGCAGCAAATCGTGACCTACAGCGATTTTCGGCAACAGCACTACAGGACGTCTCGAAGTTATGAGCGCCATAGCAACGTATTTAAAGCTTATCAATTGACAATGACAATGAAATTTATATGCACGTATGTTAACACTACGTGCTACAACATGTGCTACAATCTTCTTTCAAAATATCTCCATGAGCGCGAGTAGAGGCTCGAAGTTGCTCTTGAACTCATCGCATGATGCATGCACGTATTCTCCTCCATTTAGTCCCACCTATTCTCCATTCCCGCTTTCTAACATTTCAAAATAGGACAGCAAACTCGACAGGTCCTCTTCCAATTAGGGACCTACGCACGATGCAAGTGAACTAAGATCTGTAAAGTAGGGTGGCCATTCCGCTCCGCTAATGAAGTCGGACAGCTAGCGTCGGCACTCTGGCGGGCGAGCTTGCATCTGTGGTCTGGAGTACCGTTTGCTGCGATGACTACGAGCTGCTTCAGAGACCGAAGCACACCCATCTGTACGTCCTTTGAATAGAGATTTTGTAAATGTTTTTGTAAAATTTTTTTCAGTAAGGAGGAACTATTGAAGGTTGCATGTCTCCACTCAAGCGAGTTAGCGGTCTGCATTTTTTGGGCCCGAACTGCCTGACGAATCAGAAATGGAGCACACGATAGAAACGGCCTTTGGAGCTTTTGTTTGACAATCTGCCCCACCGACAACACCCACAAGTCTTGCTCCTTTGCCGTCTTTTTGATGGGTCACCCAGAACCACAGTCGACTCGCAAACGGACCACTAGTACGAGGGTTGCCTTTTATATTTTGAGATTTGGCAACACTAGTGTAGCAGTCTAGCAACTGACACCACTATCGTAAAGGTTGATTATTTTGAGGTTATGTTGCGAAATTTGAGCGCGA